TAATTGTAAGAAGAGACCCCGGGAAGAATGAAACAATCTTTCACTCGTATAAATATTGCTCCGTTTTAAATGAAGTGAATCCTATTCAGCTGTCCCCTTCATTGTTCTTATTCAATTTATGATTGCAATATTAATTTACGATTAAGTAAGAGATTTCCAATGAAAAAATGAAAATGTGTAACAGAAATATAATCAATTGTAAAAAAAAAAATATAATCAAATATAATATTGATATAATGAAGTATAATGTAATATGATATAATATCATAATATAATGAATATAATATAATATTATAATATAATGAATAATATTATATATTAATGAATATTATATGTAATGAATAATATTATAATATATAATATAATATTATAATATAATGAAGTATAATGTAATATGATACAATCACAATATAATGAATATAATATAATATTATAATATGATGAATAATATTATAATATAACATATAATATAATATTATAATATAATGAAGTATAATGTAATGTGATATAATATCAAATAATGTAATCAATAATTGTAACCAAACATAATATCAAGAAAGTATCAATAAAGTAATATAACAAATATAGTCAATCATACATCCAACATAATTATATTATCTAATATTAATAAAATATCGACAAATGATTATTAATATCGTAACGAAATGAACGATTATATTATATACATTTTATCGTTACTCCTCTTGAATTAAAAGTCTCGTACTTAATCACGAAATTAATAAAATCACGAATCGAACGAGAAAACTGAAGAAAGTAAAGACGTTTTGCGTAACTGCATCTGCACCCTTTCATCCGATCGTCGAGCAACGGGTTCTTCATAATCAATCAACGGCATTTTTCCTCGCGGAGGAGAGCACTCGCCGAGATTGCATCTCGTCAGAAGCCACGCGATCGTCTCGTCTCGTCTTGTGTGGCAACGGGGCAACCCCTTCTGGGATTCACCCTCTCCCTGCCACCCTCGGAGGGTGGCACGCGCGCGTCGCGAGATTACAGAAGACGAACGAGGGTGCGGAAAGTCGGAGGAGAGGGCCTTTAATCTGTTTAATCGCCTCTGAGGAGAATCTTTCGGCGAACCGTCGCGTCTCACAGTGTAATTGCTTCGTCGGTAATTACGCGGCTGTTAATTGCTGCCGTGACGAGTGGCAGGCTAGCACCCCGGCATCGAGGTCGAGGCATCGTAACCGAGGCAAGTTCAATTAGTTCGATTCTTCAAATTCGGCCCGCTCGTCGTCGTCGTCGTTCGCGAAATTAAAAGCTCTTGCTCGATGGTGGATGGCGCGACTCGCCGCAAATGCCGTGTAATCGGAAGGCGAAATTACGTTACCTCTGTCAAGCAGGTGATCAAAGCAACCGTTTCCGGCAAATTTCTCAAGTACTTTCAGCGACGTGGCTATTCGAATGGCGGTGTTCACGCGAGAGATTTGGAACTCCGAAATTTGCCGCGTGTTTTGGATATTTTGTACGTTTGTATTTGTCCGAGCATATCACTTGAGATCCAGACACAAGTCTTTGCTGAAATTTTTGCGGATATGTAATTCAAAAAATTGTTTCACGTTATTACGATAAGTGAGAGTTTCATTTTATTAAAATTCATCGCGTAGAATTGGTATTTTATGTGTTATACAAGTTGCATTAGTCCTTGTACGGTAATTAACTTCGAGAGTAATTAACTTGAACTTAACTTGGATTTCAAATGTGATCGAATTTATGTAGGACTTCGTTCTAATTTTACCTGACCAAGAATAGTACCAGAAATAGCTGAAAATATACGAAAGATCTCTAATTTGTATTCAGTTATATTTCCAAGTACATATGTATCATACGGATATATATGATTGACGATCCGTGTGTAGTACAAATTGTAATGCACGATTCATCTACAAGTCAAATTTATCTAATATGCAATCACTGTTCTATGCTACCCAGTGTACATAATGTGTACATACTGTGTAAATTGACAAATTGTCACACAAACAGTTTCTCAGACAGAAGCAAGAATTTTTCTTATTGTAAATTAAAAAAATTAAATTTGAAAATAAAATTAAAACGTGTATTTGTTGGAAGTGGGTTCAAGTGTAATTTTCAAGCTGAGGATTTCCTTCGAAAACTCCTAAGCTCCGAACGAAAGTTTCTCCCTCGTTTTTTTTTTTTTTTTTCATGAGAAATAATAAGTTTCGAACTGTGTACCACATCGCGTGACTCGAAAGGGAGAAAGAGAGAGAGAGAGAGAGAAAAAAAAAGTACTCTCCTTACTTCTGTGCTGTTCCCTGTCCCAACGACCCCACATGGTGGTAAGTATTGTATTATGTATCGTTTCCCTTTGTCTCAGAAAAGCCTCAACATACTGCGTCTAATATGTGTCTAGCCTTTGTCGCGCGTTTTAACCGTCTAGCTATAGTTGCCGGTAGTTGAACGTTCTATGTATAATGCATATACTAGTAGTCTACGTAACCGGTGGAGACGATATATCGAGATCGTAAAATCGATCAGGGGGCAACGTTTACACGTTTTCGAAGACCGGCACGAGCAATTTAAATGATTCTCGAGAACAAAAGGTTTGAGGTTATTATCAACTTTTAGAGGCAGATCTCAACCCTTCATGAAGTAGGGTAGTTGTCACTTATCTTTAATTTGCTTCCTGGAAATTTTTATTTTACAACGTGACTTTTTCTAAGTTTTCTTTATTTCGAGAATATACTTTTGATTTAAGATCGTCTTGAGGTAACGTTAAGATAAAAAATTGATCTTTAACAAGTTGATGAAGTATTGTAGTACTGTAGTTTATTTATTTTTAATAAATCTTAGAATGTATATCTTGCACGTTTCTTTTTATTTTAAGAATATCTTTGATTTAAGATCGTTTTGAGCCAACGTTAAGATAAAAAAAATTGATCTTTAACAAAGTGATAAGGTATTGTAGTATTACAGTTTTTTTGTTGTTGTAGTAAATGTACGCAGCAATTTAATATACACATTTTCAGATTGCCCCTAAACTTTGGCAATATAATCACGATGATGTTAATGAAACTTCAAAGCATTTTATACGATGTGTATGTGTGTGTGTGTTCAAATACTTTTGTGAACAGCTGCATGCAACAATCTAATATACACATTTTCAAATTAGTTTCGAACTTTACCAATATAGTAATCGCCACAGTGTTAATGAAACTTCAAAATGTTCCGTATCATGAAACTTCCATGATAAATACTCGAATACTTTTACGAGCATTTATACCACAATAATCCAACATACACGTTTTATGTGTTTTATATTCTCGGAGTGGTCTCAAATTTTAGATGAGTTTCATTAACAGATAAATACAATAGTAGTAGAAATTTTGTCAATATAATCATGACAGTTGAGCCTCATTGATGATCATTTTCACAACAAAATTATAATTATGTAATGTATTATGTATAATATATTTAATATTTTTAACATACCTATTATTTTAAATATATATATATATATAATATATATCTAGTATTATTATATATTACATAATATGTACAATATAATAATACAATAAAATAATAATATATAGTATGTATCGTATTGTTTGTCATATTATATATAATACGCATAATACATTAAGTTCCAATAAGTATTAAGTAATTATACTTTCACTTCATTGGCAACGAAGTATATGTTAAAATTTTAGTGTTAATGAAGTATTAAACACATATATATGCAAAATGTTTTATGTGACAAATGTTCGAATATTTTCATAATTCTATGCAATAATTTAATGTATATATATTGTACGTATATTGTATATACACATTATATGTACATATTATACGTTATATTTTTAAATAATTTAATATAGGTACATATTGTACCTATATATATATAGTATATCTAATGTATATATCACAATATACGTATACATATCATTTCAATAAAATCATACTACAATCTTGATAAAAATTCTTCCCTAAATATATAATATAAATATTCAAATGTTTCAATATATTGTAAGTGTATCAACTTCCAAAGAAAAAGAAAAAAAAAAAAAA